CTGGGGGGGAGGCGGCTGCCCGCTCCCGCCGAGCCGAGGCCTGCGCGCTGTGCCCCGGCCTTTGCACTGAGTGGGGAGAACCTGCCGGACCGGAGGCGTTCGGGATCAGAGCAGGTCCGAGTTTTTACTTGTGCAGCACGATGAAGTCCCAATAAGTAATTAACTTGAAAATAGCAGGAGACTGTTAGTAGCCAGCGAGCAGAAAGGGGTGAAACGTGACAGGTTTGTCACTGCTGGCACAAAAAAATGCTGCTCGGTTTTCCCTGGGACCAAGGAGTTTCCCACCCTCAGGGAGGTGATGTTCTGGGGATTTTCTGTGGTGACCCTAGCTAAGTACCACAGCTGTAATTCATAAAACTAAGCTTGACGTATGTGACCTACCTGATATAGTTGTCTTTGGCAGCAGGTGAGTGGACTAAAAGACCATCTCTTCCCAATTCTCTGTTCTTAAATCAGTGTTAAAATTGACTATTGTCTGCAAAAGAGTTATTAGAACCTAAGAAAATGCAAGCTCCTTTGTGTGTCAGTTGCCCGTATTTGCTTAAGTATTGTCTAGCTACTACTGAAAATACTTTTTGATTACCTGGATGAGTTTGAAACTGAACAGAGTATACTACTAAGAATAAAAAAAATCATAGTTCTGACTTCTTAACTTCTCATGTTATACCGTCATGCTTTAATTTGTTCTGGACAGCTTCTCAAACTTAACAGAGTATGTATAAGGGTTTTTTGTATCCATGTCATGAGTTACCACAATGATATCTTATGTTTTTATTATGTTTGGTTTAGGAGTATTTTATTGATCAGCTGAGGTCAGATGGAGTTGTTCATATTCCTCGGCGTGTTACCAATGAAATTACAAATAATACTAGATATGAATTTTACACACAAGGAGGAGTCATCTTTGCAACAAGTCGAATCCTTGTGGTAGATTTCCTTACTGACAGAATTCCTGCGAACCTCATTACCGGTAAGAGTTTAATGAGATAAAGGTGAGACACTTCTTTTTCAAAATATATAAAGCTTAATGCTACATGAAGAGTTCTCCTAACCAGTAATGAGGGTGAAAAATTATTCCTTTTTTTCTGCAAAGACTGAGGTAAAAGGAGCAAATACATAGTTAGTTGTTCTTTTTTTTTTAACAGTTTTCTTTGCTCCAAACATGTTTGCCTTATTTAATTATACGATCTGAAAACATCCATATTATTTTTAGATACTGGATCATGCATTTGTACAGCTTTCTAATATCAATAAGTGTCTGGAATAGAAGTCAGCAGTTAAACTATGCCATTGACATAAGAAACGTGAGATTCAGACGGCCTTTCAAAGAATAATTGATTGCATATGGTAAAATAGTGTCCTGTGATCTATACTCCAGGCAATCTATAGGCCAGGACACTGGCCTATGATTAAAACTGATTTTAGATGTCATGTTTTATCAACCATACACACTGCCTATTTTTTACGTTAACAAATTACTCCTGATGACACTTCCCATCAAAAAATAGCAATACCTTACTAATCTTTGTTTTGACACACCTTGGACACTATCTGAATAGCACTATTGTGAAATAATAATATTGCTACCACTATAAAGGTTTTGGGAGTAGCTTGTGACCTTTTTTTATTGTTACATAGAAATTATACATGAAAGATGTTCTCTTTTTCCTCTCATGTTCTGTTCCCCTTCTCCCCCAGCCACCATGGGTTTTTTGTTCTTGTCTAAGCTGGAAACTTAGTTACAGCCTGGAGAGCTAGTAAAATAGGTATCTAAGAGCCAGGAATATAAGAATATTTTGCTGTTGTCTATATGTTAACATCCTAATGGCTAAACATAACTGAATATTGAATGTTTAGAAGAATGTAAGTTTCTGCTTCAGAAACTGTATTCCTTTTAGTCAATCTATGACAAGCTCTAATCTGTAAAACATTTGAAACAGTTTTATCCTCAAGGCGAAGGATGCCAGATTTGTCAATTCTGATATTTCTAGCTTAAAAAAAGCTCCTACATTTTCTGGGCAACGTAATTTATCTTCTTCCCCTTGGCTCCTTCCTCTCTAACTTTCTGCTCTACCAAAGAAGTAAAAATAAGAAAGAGAGAAAATACACCTTTGGACTTTGTCAGTATGAAAAGAAGAAACACACTAAAGAGTTTAAAATATAGTCCTGTCCTATAATGACACAGTTGCTATAGTTTTTGAATTGCCACGAGAGGTCAGTGTGACAGCAGCTTTGGTAGACTTGCTGCTTCATTTAAAACTTGGGTAACACGTGGTTCAGTTGGACACATACATTATCTGTGTGTGAAACTGCATGACAGAGACAACAAAAACTTGTGTTTCCTGAGGAACTAACGTAGCAAAAAATCATTAATGTGTTTCTAGGTGTTATAAATGATGGTTATAAAATCAGTGTAGAATCACATGTGGATTAACATTTGATTAACTCCCAAGTTCAGGTAAATGAAGATAAGAAATTATCACTGCAGTAAAGACGAATTATTTCTGGTGGTTTTGGCCAAATAGAAATGATGTACTTAATGGTGTGGTAAAACTGATGCAAGTTGTTTCTACCAAATTGTTTCTTACACAGCAGTGTGAACTCGCTTCATAAGCAGAGAAATACTGACTAAAAGTAGGAAGGTGTTATAATAAACACATAGTCTTCCTGGCCTGTAACAAATTCTGTGTCTCCTATAATGTCCTGTCAGAGTCACGTCTTGACAGACAGGAAGATGTTCAGAAATGAGTACGATCGTTATTATGTCCTGAAAAATTTGCTTCATAGGAGACATGTAAGAATGTCTAGATAGAAAATACTTTTTAGTGGCTTATTCCATGACTTGATCACAAGTAGCTAGCAGTTATATGGAACTTTTCCTTCTAAGTGCTTTTTCATTTACAAAGCAAAAGCATATTAAAATCTGGCTGGGTGCCAAGTTGAAGAAACTTGTTACAGAAATTAAATACATTGTAAGTTTGTCAGCTGATGTAGGTACAAGGTAAAACCTGTGATGTTTGCTGTTCTTTGCTTCCATTTTAAAAAGGTGTTTGTTATTCCGCTGGAAGCTGTGAACTAAAAGTAACTTTAGTTACTTTTAGTAACTTTTAGCTGTGAGCTAAAAGTACCATATAGCCTCACTTTACTACGGGGAGAGTGAAAAAATGTAATGTGCTATTTAACACGGATAAGCACGAGGAAAAATAAGCCTTGGTTTTAACAAGCCTTGGCTGAGTGAAGTGTAAATCCCAGAAGTACTCACCTCAAACACAATGTAGTTAAACTATTGTTTCACTTCTCTGTACTAAAATGTGCACAATAAACCTTTTTTTTTTTCTTAACACACCCATAGCCTTGAAGAAAATTGGTCGTGTGCAGTTGATGGAAGTTTCTGTCCTCATAAGGGGGAAGAAAAGCAAAATAAATGTTTTCAGAAGTTCTTTGATTATGTAAACATTTGAACTGTTACAGACTTGTCAAGTATGTTTCATTGGTAATTCCAGAACTTCTCTAACAAAATAATTCAAATATCACAATCTTGCTTTGTTGTAATAGTGTGTTATGTCTTGCAGTTGCTTTTACTCCTTTTAAAAGGCTCAAGCTCAAGTTTTGCCTTAGAAGCAAAGGATTTTCTAAGCTGAGAAATCCTGCCACTCAAGCGCAAGGTTGTTTGTCTTTTTTTTGCTAAAGATGCATCATTAACCCAGTTCTGTTATTTAAGGATTCCATGGTACTGAAACTGAGGAATCACTTGGTTTGAATCCCAGGAAGTTTGTTCAGCCATCACTTTAGAAGATTTAAATTCCTCTGGTACTTTAAGGAAAAAAAGTGTTAAAAGAGTAAGACAGTTTGAGAAAAAAATCTATACAAAATTGGACCTTTCTTTACTTTTTTGAAACTTGAAAACCTTTTATTTTGCCAGGCATTTTGGTGTACAAGGCGCACAGAATTATTGAGTCCTGTCAGGAAGCATTTATCTTGCGACTTTATCGTCAGAAGAACAAGCAAGGCTTCATTAAAGCTTTTACAGATAATGCGGTTGCATTTAGCACTGGCTTTTGTCATGTGGAAAGAGTGATGAGAAATCTTTTTGTCAGGAAACTTTATCTGTGGCCAAGGTAAGGCACCTCTTTACTTCACTGGAGAGTTAAACTTGAAAATGGATGAAGGATGTTACAGTGGGTTTCCAAGAAAATGAGGTGTATGCAGTCACACTGCTAATCTGTGTTCCCTCTTGTATTCCCCCCAAAATTTCATTCCGTTTTTGACAGAAGAAATTATCTTAAAGATGGTAAATTTCTGTAAGTATTTTTGAAAATAGACTCAAATCCATAAGGGGCTCTACATTACGGTATAGCTGTCCTTACAGCCAACAGAAATCACAACAGAAAGTGATATTTTTAATAGCTTAAGAAAAACTTCACTTATTAAACAGATTATTTAAGCCATGAAGTAACAGGAATACAATCTCTCAGTTCTGCTGTTCATGGAGTTATTTGTTTCTACATGTCAGGTTTTTTAATCTTCTTTGACATGTGTGTTGTGTATGAATAATATTTCTTGATGCCTGATAGAAACTGAATTGCCTAGTTTGTGACATGCATTAAGACTTTTAGGAGCAGAGCCACAAATGGAACTGGGTACTTTAGCTGATTACCCATTCGATGCTCTTGCCTTGGGCAGGAGATCTGCCTGTTCCTTCTTTTAGTCCAGCCTAGAATGTGTTTCACTCCATCTTGACATACTGTTACTCTACATTGTAAACTCTTTAACAGTCTTTCTTTCAGTATCACTAAGAAGTGAAAATGGATATAACTAGGATAGAAGAGGTTGAATAGAAGCTCTCTAAATTTTCTTCTTTGGCCTCTGAACTGTGAAAAGACCTGGGGGTGCAGCATGCAGTAAGGGAAATGCCCCCCGTGTTTCAGAGGTCGGCAGAGAACATCCTGTGAGTAAAAATCAGCTGGCATCTCTGTGCCTCTGCAGCCAGATCAGCTGTAACAAGGACCTGCTGCTTATAATCAGAAGCTAGGAACATTGCAGAATCTGCCAGTGCATCTATGTGAACCCAAAGGATTTATGAACCCATTCCAATTCCTCCCTTGGGAGATTTTTTTTTGGTTTTATATCAAGAGTTGTAATGTGTAATAATGCTGTAGAATCTAGTGCAGTAATTTTCCATGGATCATTCACCAGCACTATAGGCTCACATGACTAGAATGACAACTGTCATAACTGTGGAATAGATGGTTTTCTGAGGCTGTTCGTAAGATTGCAGTCGTTACAGCAGTAGAAACTGATTTATTTTGCAATTACCGTAGTTGTTTATGATTAAAACAATTGTTATCATAGTTTATACAAACTTCTGAATAACTGTAGGTCAAGCAAATCATCCATGTAAATCTCAATAAGCTGTTTTCCTCCTAGATTTCATATAGCAGTGAACTCATTTTTAGAGAAGCATAAACCTGAAGTGGTGGAAATACACGTGTCAATGACCCCTGCTATGCTTGCTATCCAGACTTCAGTCCTGGACATTCTGAACGCATGCTTGAGAGAACTCAAACGTTATAATCCAGCTCTTGAAGTAGAAGATCTATCTTTAGAAAATGCTATTGGTAAATCTTTTGACAAGGTAACCATTTTGATTGTTCTGTTCTGCCTAACTAAAGGGATGTAGATCTGCAAATTGTCTGCCATGAAAAAAAAAAAAAAAATTATTTGTAAAAGAAATAACAAGCAGCAACTGAGGATTCTCCCATGAGGTGTTTATTACTGCTACAAGGAGAGAAACACAATCTGTAATGGTGATTTTACAGTTGCCAGTAGGGTTTCTGGTGTATTGGTATTATTGGTCTTCCTTGAATTCCAAAGTCTTTATAGTAAGAACATCCTGATTCACGGTTGGTATATTATAGTGATGATGATAAAGATGGCTACAATTTCAGCTTAAAATACTTTAGTGATCAATATGCAGTTATTTCCACAACCACCACTCTTTTTTTTTTTTTTTTTTCCTCTTGAATTTCCTGCTTGTATCTTTTTTATTTTCTCTACTGGTAGAAGCAGTGTATATAATAATAGGTAATACGCATGTGCATGCATCTGTAGTATCTTTCCATCATTATACATGTCATCATGGTAAAATCATAAACGTCAACCATCATAGTGGAACATGGTTATTTGTTACCTGTGATTTAATCTTGATGTAAGGCCTTCTGTATTTAGAGGGGTTTTTTTCTTATGCTCTGTAGGTTGCACATCTGCATGATACTCATTCTGAAAATTAAATAACATTATAGTATTTTTTACTACGGTACTAGATACTAAAGGCACAGGCCAGTACCAGTAAAATAAGGGGACTTTTATTTTACCAGGATTTTATTATTATATGGACAGGAAAATATGTACTGAAAGCATTTAATGATACGTATCTGCAAACTGTTGAAATGTTTTACATAAAGGCATCTATATTATGTTAACTTTGCAAAAAATTATTACTTATCAAAACAAATACCATCACATATTTAATTGGGTATGTTTAATAACTTGGAACCTAGTAGCAGTCTCTGTAAAGGAAAAAAAAAAAGTGCATTCTTATCTTGGTTAGTATACTATGTTTTTGACATTCCTAGACTTTCCAATTTATATTTCTAGACAATACGTCACTATTTAGATCCTCTCTGGCATCAACTTGGAGCTAAGACAAAATCTTTGGTCCAGGATTTGAAGATACTACGTACTTTGCTGCTGTATCTAACTCAGTATGATTGTGTCACTTTCCTTAATCTTCTGGAGTCACTGAAAGCAAGTGAAAAAGCTTTTGGTGAGAATTCAGGTAAACACTGAATAACCATACAAGTTAATGCATGAAACAGTGAAATGTTGATATTTTTAATTAACATTCCCAAACATATGAAGGTATCTAATTAGGTTTTATATAACCAGCCATAAGGACGTAGGTTTTTATTGACAGATAATGCTTTCATCTTCCCACTTAACTGCTGTTACTTAACAGTGTGAGATTTGCATCATATTTCTGTCTTCTATTAAGCTAGTAATTATACAGCAAGCAGGTAACACAGGTATTCCAGATAGGAGATTTGGGGCTTTTATGGGAAAGGTTTGAAACACATGCATGTTGCAAATGTTAAACTACTACTGCTTTCTTTTCCTCTTTAGGCTGGCTGTTTCTTGACTCCAGTACTTCAATGTTTGTAAATGCTCGAGCTAGAGTTTATCGCATTGCAGATGAGAAACTGAATCAGAAAGGCAAAGTCTCTGAAAAAAGTGATGTAAAGAAGGAAAATGGTAATGTTCATTCCTAATTTTAAGTTTGAGAGTGTCACACGATTTCAGACACTCTGCATAATATTACTTGTGCCGTGGTTCCCTACATGATCTTACACAGCTCCAGAGCTCAATCTGTTAGCTGGGATAACTTGAGACATAATCTTAGTTCAAAAAGCGTATAATAAACAACATAAAACAGAGTCACGAAGAAGTAAAGGGGCTATTCTAAGCTTGCTTAGCCAATCATTGGGAAAGCTTTTATGGAATTGTTCTACTACATTAGTGTTTACCTTGATCTTTTTTATTTATGTTAAAAGGTAGAAGGCTGCCATAGCTTTTGTTTTAAAAAAATATACAGGAGTTTCAGAATTGAAGAATGAGTGAATATTTTAATTTTTTGCTTCACTAAAGCATTTATCCCCATTTTTAAATTTGTGTAAGAGTGCTCTCCAACCCATTAGCATAACAGGTTGCATATGTAGGCTGTTGAATATCGTATTTGCTAACAACCATCACGCTATTGACATCTAACCACTAATTTAAAAATTTGAAGGATATTTTGACTGTAAGAACTGCTATGTTCAATCTTACTTTGTTTCAGAACTGAAAAGGGAATTGGTTCTAGAAAGTAACCCAAAATGGGAAGCTTTAAGAGAAGTACTGAAAGAGATTGAAAATGAAAATAGGAACAGTGAAGACCTTGGCGGCCCAGGTGAGAGAATACTAAATGATGCGAATTTTCACAGTACAGCTAGTTTTCACTTGTACTTGACTTTAGGGAGAAGGAGCCTAACTTTCACTGTAGTTTTATTAAAGAGCTAATTTTAATTTTAATAATTGGTAGAGTTAAGGAGTTTATGTACATAAACTGTCTAAAACTGAACAGTTTTTCATAAACTATGTTGTTCTTGCTCTAAAAGAGAAATACTGTCAGTTTTTATACAAAACTGTTTATGAAAGAACCTGTATTATCACAAAAATATATTTTAACTTACATTTCAATATTGTACTGATACCTCAGTCTCAAAACCAATAAAACTAATAACATGGAAGTTTATAATAATCTAGGTGCCATTCACTTATTTCTCAAGTTCAGGTTAAAAAAAAAAATAAGGATTCTGTCTTATGCCCTTTCCATCTCACGTACTCTTCTCATGCACCTGAAAATTTGCTTCTCCAGGAGATGCACCTAAATGGGGTAGAGAGTATAAGGCAAGTGTGTTTCTAACTGTTTTGCTCACTTTCCTATTTTAGGGCTTTTCATCCCCTTAAATTTCACCAAGTTTTATTTTAGGAAACAGTAAGGGTAAAAAAGTGTTCTTTTCTCCCACCCACAGTGTTCTGACTCTGGATAAGAACTGGCGCTCTCGCCTAGTGTTGTAGGAGTTTATCTGAGTCAGCTTGTGGAGAATTGTTATTCGAGGCCCACAAATGTCAATAATACAGTGTGAAACATGTATGTTTTTTTAGACTCTTTAACACAGCTGACAGAGGCTGAAAATTAGAATGGTCTAAATGAAGTTCTGTCTTATTCCATATTTTAAAAAAAATAAAAATAGAAAATGTCCGAGTATGTTTCAATACACACTATATCTGCCTCATTTCAGAGGGTCAAAAGGAAAGCCTCGCTAATTTAGATGGTGTAAGAATAAGGAATGCTGAACTTCCATTAACCTGCTCTAATCTTGTTTGGTTCAAAACATCATGCAATTTAGACTCTGAAAGTCTGGAGCAACAGTGACAACCAAATGTAAAGGCATTTGGCAGGCAGGCTTCTAGGAACATTAAAAACAATTTGCTCAAGAGGTGTCTTGTATCTGGATAAGTAGTACAGCATAACAGATCACAAACATCCGACTGTTTCTTGACTGCAGGGCAAGTGCTTATTTGTGCCAGTGACGACCGAGCGTGTGCACAGCTCAGGGAGTGTATTATTGATGGAGCAGAAGCTTTTTTAACAAGGCTGTATAACAAAACCTTCGGAAAGGATGAGAAAGCTGGAGAAGCGTGGATTAAGGACAGAAAAACCATCAAGTCCAAAGGAAATGCCAGACCAGACACAGGGCCTCAAGCCAAAAAAGCCAAACTCACAGCTTCTTCAAAACAAAATAAACACAAGAAGCAGCAAGACCGGACTATAATCGAAATGATAGGGAAAACTGAAGAGGAAAAGAGAGAGGAGTTAGAGGTGGAAGATAACAAAGAATTAAGCAGTAGCCAAGAAAGCAGCATTGAAGAGACCATTCCTGAAGATTTCGATGTGAACTTACCCTCAGATTGTTACTATGGTGTTTTCAAGAACCCGCTCACCATTATTCATCCATTGCAGGGTTGCAGTGATCCCTATGCGCTCACTCGGGTACTGCATGAGGTAGAACCAAGATATGTTGTATTATATGATGCAGAACTAACTTTTGTTCGGCAGCTGGAAATCTACAAGGCAAGCAGGCCTGGGAAGCCTTTGAGGCAAGTTGACTTGGTCAGTGTAATTTTAGTCTTAAAAGAAAAAATAAAAAGTGCACTTCCAGCAGTTAAGGCAGAATGTGCATCCAGTGATTTTTGTTTAGCTACCTTTTCACTCCTGTTTAGCCCTCTTAATTTTAGACAAAAGCATAATGTCTGATGTAAACAAAAATATAATTTTTACTTCCCAGCAGGAATTTAGTCCCTTAACAGCAGAAACATACCTGTTTAAAAAAAAAATTAAATTTCATTCCATCTTCTAAAAGACCTCTGCTTTTATGATCTTGGTGGCAATAGATCCATTTTGAGGTGCTGTAGTCTCATTTTAAACCATCTCTTTAGGTATGTTTTTTACATAACAAGCTCCAGTTTGGATTTAATTTTCACATTTCCTGATGAATGGTCACGCTGAAGACCAGTAATTCAGAAACTGTAACAGAAAAACAAGTAAAGGAAAACACAGTAAAGAAAATAAGTATTTCCAGTTATGCTCAGTTCTGGTGTTACCTGACAAGTATTTCCACATTGTTTATATATATATATATATATATTTGATACACTTGTAAATTGCAAAACTTGCTTTTATGAGCAAATGTTACGGACTAATTAAAAATACAGAAGACTTAATCGTTTCTGTATTATCTTTCACTTACATGGCTGCCTGATACAGCATTTCTTGAATAGAGTAAGCTGTAGTTCTACCTGTACCTCTCTGAAGCACAGCGAGGTACAGGTTGAAGCACAATTTATCATTAATTTATCACAGTTGTGAAAATTGCCTAATCAGCACGTGTTGTATCTACCTCCAGCATCATGTTGCCGCACTTCAGAGCAGGAAAATCAGATGCAGTCATGCAAGTAGGGGTTAGGAGATGCACCACATGAAAAAAGTAATGGGAATAAAATTCTATCAGTCTGTCAAAATCTACCTCAAATAAAATATATTGGAAAAAAAAATGACTGTGCTGAAAGGCTACTGGCAATTAATTCCTTAAGGTAATTATTAATTCTTGTATGTTCCATACAAACCCCATTTGTGGAGTAAAACTCCATTTGTCAGTATGTTCATCTCTTCAAGACGAATAGCATCTTGTTCTTTGTAGAACCTATGATTTCCTTGTAAAGATACATCATTTTAAAATCTTAGATGGTGTTTTTTCCTAACCCAGGATGATTGCAGATTTTTTAGTTTGTTGTATATATTCTACTGGGAAGATTCTAAAATCGGTGAGAAAGTAACTCCCCCATTATACTTGCTTTGTGTCTTTGCTGAATGGCTGACTGCAGTCAGAGTCCACTCTGGTTGAATCCCAGAATTCCAGTAAGTGTATCTCTTACTGGGAAAAGAGAGAATGCTGGATATAAGAATTTTTCTTGCCAGTTTTGGAATGTCTTTACAGTAAGAGATAGTGGTTTTTTCACTTGCCTTTTTAAAGGCAAATACTAACTTGTAAAGGCACTTACTGCTACTAATCTTAAATACTGGCTGTGGGTGTTTTTAACTTAAGAAGTTTTGTGATCTCTTTTTCTTTTTTCTTTCTTCTGCTCCAAACCTACAGAGTTTATTTCCTCATATATGGGGGCTCAACAGAAGAACAGCGCTATCTCACAGCTCTGAGAAAAGAGAAGGAGGCCTTCGAAAAACTCATTCGGTAACAAAATTAGTTTACTACCTTCATTATTAATGTTTTGTGTAATTCCTATATATGTCTACATTTTAAATATAGTGAAGTTCTTAACTCTAAAGGCTTTAAATAAACCTTTAATTCAGTTGGTTTTCAGATGTTAAGAGAATGTTCCCATTGAGAATCAATAAAAAGTCAAGACCTTCCTTTTTATTTTATTTATTTTAGGTGTTTTAATATTCAATTTCAAAGGCTAAACAGCACCACTTGTACTTTTTCCTAATTGTCTATCAATTTAATTTCTGTAAATGTATTTTTGTCTGTAGGTAAGATTTTTTGTAAGGTATTTCTAAGGCTTTAATATGACATAAGTCAGAAAATATTTTCTTAGACTGTATAAGACAGTATTTATACTGCTATTACTCATCATTAGTTCCTTGGTTTCATATGTCCTAAGAAGTTCTTAAAGATAAATCAGATGCTAAAAAGTGCTGACAATTGAAAATAAAAATATAGTGTCTAGCCTAGTGATCTAGAAAACCTAATGAATTGCATTTCTGGTCAGGTTTGCAATTACTATTAAATTATATATGATTTTACATGGCTGAAGGGTATTAAAGTATTTTGACCTATCTTTCTCATATAATTGCAGTTTCTAGTGTTTCTTTGTTTGTGCTTCCTTAGAGAGAAGGCCGGCATGGTTATTCCTGAAGAAAGAGAAGGAAGAGATGAAACAAACTTAGACCTAGTAAGAGATGCTAAACCTGCCTCTGCTTCTACTGACACCCGCAAAGCAGGTGAGCAGTTCCTGCAGTTAGGCCTGCAGCTCTCAGCTTTGAGAAAGACCTAGAACTCTCCTGTTTAAATCCCTTCCAAAGTGTCTGGGTCATAGACACCTTGCACACTGGCTCTGCAGTGCTCTGCAGCCTTGGAGCATCATCTCTCTTACCCCATTTACCTCTGTCTTTGCAATGACAATGAATGATGGTTTTCTTTGAAAAGAAAATAAGAATGAAGTATTTTGCCATTAAGACAGGTACCATTTGGATTGTTTCTAAGCAGCTCGTTGGTTATTAGACTGTCTACTATTGTTTGTAGGGAAGTGGAGAGAAATTAAAACATCAAAACAGATAGTCAAAGGCACTGTTGTCCTTGAGGTAGTAAATGTTGGGGACAAAACATTGCCTGGGTAAACAACTGCAGATGTGGGGGGGTTGTCTATTTTCTTTGCAATAAAGCTTTTCTTTGGTTGAAGTTCTAACCACATTTTTGTTCCTTTCCTCTGACATGTATACTTTATCTTCATCTTTACAGCTCTGCCCATTTTTCTTTGCTGTCATTTTTTGTAACTGTGCTCTCCTTTACCATATGTTCTCTAATCCTTGCTGTGTCTTTTGTGCCCTTGATGCTGCTGTCTCCTCGTGTCCTTCTACAGCTCTAGAGAGGCTAAAGTGTAACTCCTATAATAAAATGTCAGATTTCTGTGGGAAAGAGCTGGAAATAAAAAGGATCGGCTTCTTTATCTTGTTTTGCAGGCAACTTTAAAATGAAATTCCTGATGTATTTTAATAATTTTAATCTACAATTTAACATATTTCATTGTCACATGTGCAACGCTTTTACCGGGTGGCATGATAGTTCCATTAAACTGCAGAGCATACTCCATAAACTACAGTGTATAATTTGGCAAATTATTTTTCTCTATAACAGCAAAAAAATAAATGAAGTCTGGATTTATTTTATTGCTGAATTTGATGTATAATTTGAGATGTGAAGTCCATCTGTTATGGCACACAGGAAGAACTATCCAGCCAGAGTCAGAGTTTCTAGGTTAACTGTATTTATTTTGCTCTTTAGGTGGACAGGAACAGAAGGGTGTTCAGCAAACTGTAATAGTGGATATGCGGGAATTCCGTAGTGAGCTTCCATCACTGATTCATCGTCGTGGTATTGACATTGAGCCTGTTACTTTGGAAGTTGGAGATTATATTCTAACTCCTGATATCTGTGTAGAGCGGAAGAGTATCAGTGATCTGATTGGTTCCTTAAATAATGGAAGACTGTACACACAATGCATTTCTATGTCCCGGTACTATAAGCGACCAATTCTCCTGATTGAATTTGATCCTAACAAACCTTTCTCCTTGATTCCACGAGGCTCTCTACATCAAGAGATTTCCAGTAATGATGTTACTTCTAAACTAACCCTTCTTACGCTCCATTTCCCGAAGTTACGTATCCTGTGGTGTCCCTCTCCCCATGCTACAGCTGAACTGTTTGAAGAGTTAAAACTAAACCATCCCCAGCCTGACGCAGAAACAGCAATGGCTGTCACAGCAGATTCTGAAATTCTTCCAGAGTCAGACAAGTATAACCCAGGTCCTCAGGACTTTCTATTAAAAATGCCAGGTGTTAATGCAAAAAACTGTCGTGCCTTAATGAACCACGTTAAAAGCATTGCAGAGCTAGTGACACTGTCAAAGGACGAACTCTCCAAAATTCTGGGTAATGCTGCCAATGCCACACAACTCTTTGACTTTATTCATCTGACCTACAAAGAGGCAGTATCTAGAGGAAAAAGCAAAAGATAAGTAATGAGACTGTTCAACACAGGGCATAGATCATTTTTCTTGCTAATGCTCAGTTTTAACACTTGATGTAATTATTGCTGAAAACAAGTTTCAAGAGGAATAAATGTTTTTTAATAGCAAAATGCAAATTATTTTTATTGTTTCTACAGCACTTTAACCAATTCTGTAATTTCAGTGAATGAAATTAAGCTCTTCACCAAGTCCATAAGAATTAAGTGCTAAGACTAATTGATAAAGGTGTTTTCTTTTGAAAGTTAGGATGTCTTGTTAAAGTAAATATGTACTGTGTTTTGATTAGTGTGTGTGTGACCTGCTGCATGATACATCACTTTGCTTTTGCCATTTTTATTAACGTCTTTTATTAACGTCTCTGGAAACTGCCTGGTTTTGATTGACAGTGATGGAGCTATTTGAAACACATGGTGGTCTTTTGTCAGGAGTTTGCTTAGGAGAATATACATGGACTCAGTCATGAATTTTAGATCATCATCATAAGCCTCTGTCACAGGAAACTACAATTGTATGATATGGTCTACATTATATTTGCTTACTTTACTAGAAGTTATACTTTCTTTTTTGACATTCCAAAGTCAGTGCAGCTCTGTCTTCCTGGATTTGCAAATTGCATTCCTTTGGTTTAGTCTGGATAGAGATTCTGTGGGGACACAATACAATTTAATTATCAGTGTGCCTCACTTATACTTTTAAGATGCTTTATTGTTTTTCAACCAGTTTTGATAGCTCTTTTACCTTATTCACTTCAAAGTGAAAAATCTAGGTATACCATTGGGACTGTTCCTTTATACCAGAGCATATTTTCTTTCATAAAATGCAATTGTTATTCTAAGTATGGTTTTCCAAAAGTGTTGACAGTTCTTCCAATATTGTTTCTTTCTGTGTCCTGTTGTGCTTGCATTTTCATGTCTTAAATAGACCCTCTGTCAGTAAATTCAGGGTTTTTTTCTATTGTCACCTGGAGGATAAAACTTTTAGTGTTCCATATAGCATAAAACAGGGAAAATTTATTCTTCTTTTGATAGTTTGGGAAAGTTTATATTGTTAAAAACATATATTCTGCACTGAAGTTTGGTACGACAGCTGTGTAACAAACTGTCATTGCCAAAAGGTTTGGTGCTGTGCGTGCCAGTGCATTTACATCAGCTTATCCAAACCCTTTATTTATAATGACTTGCACATATGTATTTATATGATTCTAATGCTAACAGCAGATCAATATAATCACTGCCATTAAAGGAGAAAAATACTGATTTTTCTGTATCCAGGTTTAGTAAAAACTGTGCTGTGCACTTTCAGGTTTAATGTTTACTGCGCGTTTTAAGTATGAATTATGAATTTGTTAACTTACAGTCCAAGACTGAGCTGTGATAGATTCCAAAGAGAACATTTTTCTGCAAATGCAAATTTCAGTATCAAATACATCTCTAATAAGATTAAAATTTCTTAATTATCTTGTTTCTCATTTGGCTGTATTTATATCAGAACAATTTTATTTCTATTGTGTGGTTTATAATCTGTATCTTATGGTTTCTGTTGCCCTCATTCTATTTCATTTAATAGGAAAAGTCTTTCCATGAGTTTTCCTTATTCAAAGCAGTAAGGTCAGGAATGTTCAGGGTTCAGAATGCCTGTAAAGTGGTGCTAAGAAACAGAAGATCAGAGTAAGAACATAACTGTCCTGGATGCATGGCCTGTAGAGCCCAATTCAGCAAAGGAGAGCTGAACAACCTTTGAAAACATGTATTGTTCCTGCATTTGCATCATTAAGATGCCACATGAACTGTGGGTTTGGGTTTTTTTAAATGTACATCTCTGCTTTCTCAGTGATTTTTTTGCTTCGATTTGCATAAGGTGAAAATGAAGGGTATATGAAGAGGTGATGAAGTTGTAGCTTTGTTATATGCTAGATCAAAGTCACATAATGAAACTAGTATTTGCTAAATACTTAGATTAAATTGCATTTTCTTTATATCTGTGGAATTTTTGTAAGGTGGTTTGGTTTTCCTTGTGGAGTTTTTTTGTTTTGTTTTGATTTTTTTACTTTGAGGGTTTGGCTTTTTCTTTAACACAACCACAAGTAATACTGTTGTATGTTACTGCTTATTATTTTACTGTACTAGCTTAGGCTGCAAGTTAGTGGTGTGTCTTTCTGGGGCAGTGGGTACAAATTGTGAACAAAGGTGGAAGAGCTCTTGTCTGCTGAAACCACTTAACCCTGAAATAACGAAGCAGAAGAGTCTACCTGTACGCAGGCACAACGAAACGTGTGGGTGGATGATGAAAATCCTTAGGATGCTTTCCCTGGCCTTACAGTGCTTATTTTCATCAACAGTTATGAAATTTTGTGTATCTTGTCATTTGCTCGATGTTTTCAGTTTCTGCTTTTTTTTTTTTTTAAATAAAAAAAATACTGCTTTCAATTTGGGAGTGTCTCAGATTCTTTCTTGCACCCAAACCAAGACTACATGTTTGAAGGTCACTGGATACATAAAACCAGTGGGGTTTATATGCTATTGGGAAGTTAACTAGTTGCTTGTTTCTGCAGTTTGCCCTAGGCTTTGATTGCACAAGGTTTCTTCTAGAATAACAATAAAACCAAAATCTCTTAGGAGCAAATGGAGCTTACATGAGTGAATATATTTTGCACGGGATAGATTATGGTGTAGTTCCTGTGTTTAAGTTACCTGGATACTATTCCTCCTAGTGGTGACACTTGGCAGTTTCTAGCTACAGTTGCAAAGGAATCATTTTGCTTGCCATGCTGGCTATGTGCAGTCTCCAACCAAAACAAACTTTACCTTCAAAATTACTTTTTCTGCATGAACATTCATAGTAGGACTTTTTCAGTAGCAGCTGTATTGATCACTTTCAAATTTATCCTTGCAAAACTTAAACGTAAACCAGTTGACCAGAAATCCACACTGCTTATAAAATATGCAGCTATACTGTTAAAAAAACCTGACTTAAAAAGTACAGAAGTTAAATGTGAGGATTTTTGTGAGTGTGAGGCTCTCAGCTGCATACAGTACAACGACAAATAATTTTAAAAAATAAAGACATTTGTCTCAAGTTCCTTAATCATCCAGAATTCCGATTCTAAGACTGTAGAACAGAATCCAAAAGCAAACATTTGCCAAAAAATAGTTATTTAATAAATACATTATTTCTATGACAAACCTTAAAGAAATGTAACTGAGGTTTGTTAAAGAAATTTGTTGCGTGGGCTTACTAACTGACAATTTTTATTTAGGTCTCCATAAACTGGGTGCTACCAAGGTTTACAATCCTTTTACAAGGACTGTATTAGGATAAAGTTCTACTTAGCTCTTACTCAAAGACAGCCTAAATTAAATTAATATTTGGTTGATCTGTTTTCTACAATATGTGGTTTTAAGAAATGCAAGTAGAGTCATAAACAAAAGAGTTCAGAAACTTGCTCCAGGATTTTGTAATACTTTGTAATTATAACTTATTTCACGGGTTTACTCTTTTCTTGACATAATAGCAAGAATGTAGGATATTTGTAGAATCAACTCAAACTAAGCAGAATTTCTTTTATGTTTTTCATATGAAGTCCTTAATGTCTACTTACTATGAGTTATGTTCTTGCATTGAAAATAGACACACAGGCAATATATGCACTTACTTTTCTTAATTCTCAATTGCACACACTTTTTTTCCCCAAAGTTTCAGGTGTTCTTTTTTTCTATAGTCATTCTTTCCAAATCTTCCTCTCTCAAATGATATTCCTAATATTCCATGGCTGACTAGCAACCCACTCAAAAATAAGACATAACTGATACATATATTTGTCAATAATATTTCTCACTTCTAGTCTTTTTTTTTTTTTCCAGTTTATTCTTCAAACCATGAATCCTTCCTGTTTATCAGTTTAAAATAACTGTGATAGCAGCAAGTTTGGTGAGGCTAGTAACGTGCAAATGTTGGGTACATTTACTGTAATCCGGAGTTACATTTGTCTGTTTATTTTTAAATCAAGATTCAAGTTCTAATGTGTATGAATTTCAAAGGTTCCGTGATTCATGTGGTATAGAATGATGGCAAACTCTTAAGTATTTGGTAATAGAAAGAATGTCTTTAGACCTTCCCATCCAGCCACGAAAAGTGGGATCAGAAACACTGAAATTTGACCCAGAATATAGTTGAGAGGTAGTTCAGAGCTACTCTCCTGTGGCTTCAATTGATGAAAGAGTGACATTGGAAATTGTTCATTTCTTAGCTTTAGCTTCTCTCAACACTTTAAGGGAATCATTATCATAATGACTGAATAAAAACCCTTACCTTTTTTCCCCCACTAACTTGATGCAGCTAACATATACTTATTTCATACAGATAAGAAGGTTCAGAAAAACTGGTACTAAATAAAGGGATTAAGAGGAGCCTGTAGAAAGCTAACTCTTTAGAACCATTATCTTCCCTTGTCTTTTATTCTTGGAATCAGCAAGTAGGTTCTGGAGAAAAAAAAAAAAAAACAACTCTATTGTAAAAGGCCAGAGACAGAGAGAATGTACATGACTGACTAAATGTTTTGATAAGGTTGTACAAGGAAATATTAAAATGTTCTGAAGCTTCAGTGCCATTTTTCATTTTGAGTACAAAATGTTAAGAGTTCACCTCCCAGATTTGTCAGTACATATAGGCTGGCTGTTTTTCCACTTGAGTTTTGATCTGTATTTTACAAGTTGCTCCACATTAATTAAAAGGAATAAATATTCTAAGGCACACAGTCTTGAAAACAGGGAAGAAATATTCAGTAGATTTGCTAGCCAGTACTTAGCTGAGATTAATTCTTTAGTCTTACTGAACTTAGGGTAACCAGGGCTACTACACTGCTATGGTGATTTGTTGTCTAAACAGAAGATGTTGCTGCAATATATCAAAACGGGCTTGCATACATACTAATTTTAGAGTGATTTTTTTTTTTAAAGTGTGGCAAAATTATCTTCATCCACTACTGCTATAAAGCCGTCTTCCTAGAAATATTAAATTGGGGTAAATAGATACTGGTTTCTTAGCTTGCATTTGACAGTAGTTCTGTTTGAAGAGCTGCCCTCCGTAAATAAAATCATAGATTTCATTTCTAGGGTCCTCTGTCACTCAGCATTACTTCTTTTTTCCTTCAACTTTATCATCTACTGTCAAAGAGCAATAGACTGTAGCTATTAAACAACTGACGTTGTTTCCAAACTGGAATTGTTATTCAGCAATGCAGTCTTGTTCTGGAGCTCCCAGCTGCTTCTTCAGTTGTCAGAAAGCCACTTGGACCTTTCTCCTTTTTATTCTTTCCCTTTGTTTATGAACAGACAGTAGTCAGATGGCAAAAAAAGTTTTGCAACTGACTTACCTTGTTTAATGGCTACTTTTCTCCTGTAAGTTTGCTGAGCAGATCACAGTGAATAGCTTTTTTATGGAAACTCAGAGTAAAACCACACATAAGTCTCTGTTTATGGGATGGTAAGGTTTACCGTGAGTTAGATCCAAAGAAGACTAAATACCATTTCAGAAACTATTAATCTAGCAACCACAGCTGGGATTACTGATTAAAAGATTTTAGGCAGGAGCCTTACAGGAGAATTTTCAAGAATGCCAAAGTAAATTTATAATTTTTGAGGGTAGAATTTTCAAGATCACTACTAAATCTATCACATATGTACTATAAATTTATAAAAGTTTTATTTTTATATCACCATTCGCCACTGCTCCAGCTCATCTTTGATAACTATAGTTCAATGGAATTCAAATTCCATCAACTCTAATTCAGAAAACTCGCAAGTATAAACTGGAATTTTACATAATTGGTTTAGAAAGAAGATAAACAAATTTCCACCTGTAGATTCAGTGAAATAGCTCTAGCTTATCTCTCTTTAGTGACACTTATTATCCACAGAAACATACTAACATTCAAATTTCTAACATAGACAGAACCATCTCCCAAGTCAGTCAAATCCCAAGAGTTTCCCCAGCAAAAGTGGCACAAAATGCCTAAACTTGACATTGCTGCATTTCAGTCCCCCTAAAAATAGGCAGCATCATTCTGAGTTATTTGTGTAGAGCTACTCAGATCCCATTATCATCCATTTTCTGACCATCCTCTTGGGTGAACTGAATGTCACAGGGCCCGGGGACACCAGGAATGTGCAGCTGCAGTGAAGTCTGTGTGTCACATACCCACAGCATCATTTAACACTGACTGAAGTAACATCTTACAGTTTATTTATCACTTTTTTTCTCATGATGCTGTGTTTGCATTATTCTCAGATTCTCCATTCAACTATTATCTTTATTTTTCCTCTAGAATTTTCTAATTTATTTCTTTTTTGCTTCTCTTACCCTAATGATGTCTGTCCGTATTATTGTCTATTTGTTTCCTTCAGGAACACTGCTTAAATATTGCTGCAATTTGTGATGTCTGTTGAACACAACTAAGATTGAGTTCTTTGCAAGACTGGCTGCACTGGAGCCTTGTCCAGCACTTAATATCCATGGGCTTATATAAAAAATGTACTGTACTTCATTTTCCTTTTGGACTCAGACTTGAGGCATGTCACACTTGGAGAACTGACATGGAGAGAAGACACAGAGCAGCAGATTGGCAGTTCTTGCAACATGTAATTCTCATTTTTGTCCTGGAATATTTTTTTTAACAGATTAAAACCAGGCCAAATATGCATACAATAAAATTATAATCTGATTATTTTATAAATTATTCCTAGCCCTGGAAAACTTTCAAAGCATTTTTTACATGTAAGAAAATTCTTGGAATCTTACACACAGATAGCAGAAGCTGCAAATTCTCTTGTGGCATTTATATCTCATGGCCCTTTTAACACATTGCAGTAATACACCTGGCAAGTTTTCAGAGCCTGCAAAAACTCATATTCCATGCATAATCATTTATATCAGGACACAGGAGATGTGCAACAGCAAAAAATATTAATGCCACGTCTCTTACAGCTATCTAAATTTTCTTTAATGAAATCCCCCTATCTACCTCCTCCCATTGTCTGGATATGCCTTGTTCCTGCTTCATCTTTAAAATCTGTTAAGTGTTGGAAAGAACTCTGGTCTTTAAAAATCAACATACATTTGTGTTAAACTATTGCATGATTCTAACTGCTGAAGTCTATGTAACCCACTTGTTTCATTTGTTCCAGATGCATTCTGAAGTGAAACCCACTTACTCTGTAACTTAGAGTGTTGTACTACATTTGTAATGCTTGCAGTCTGAAAGCATTATGTTATGACCACTAGTTGGAAGGAAGAGACACTCCTAACACGGAGATGGCCAGTATGTACATGTTCAGATCACCTTCAGCTATACAACAGTCAAAATCTAGAGATCCTTCAAGAAAGGAGTCCTGCCCATACCAAATACCAAAAAATACCTACAAACTTTTGAGGCTTGTCCCATACAAATCTTGGTGCATAAGGTACTATCTATACAGGCAGTCTTTAAGATAGTGAAGATGTCTCAACCAAGCCTTGAATTGCAGCAGTAAATCTGCTGTATTATTTTTCATATAACTATTAAATTAGGTTTTTTAAACATTAGCATTATACTGCATATCACCAGCTGACAGAAGTCATAATCAAGATTCTCTTTTTCACTTTAATAGTTACTTGATGGAAGGTTTGAATGATCACATATTAAGTAATCTGAATTTTTCCACAAAGTGTTACTGATATTAAAATGCAGTGGGTTTTTTCCTTTCTCAGACCCATCAGCTTCTTAGGGATCCCTGACATATTTCTAGCGGCTTGAATAACACAGGCACTATTACCCAAATAGAGGAATTTCAACTGATCGCCACCAGGAATCTCTGACTTTCCTTCACTCATTATCAACTTTATGCATTTGCACATGCATGTACACACACAGACACGGAGTATCTGCTGTGCTGGGTAACATGAGCCTGCACATCTTCAGTGTCCACGTCTCTGAAAATGACCCTGAAAAAGTAAGCTAAGCCCATCCCTGTTTCTATATATAAAACTGTTTGTTTAATTGGTGGACTGCACCAAGAATAAATAATGAGGTAATTCTGAAGATCATTCCCAGAACAGTCAGCTAGGATTGTTTCTGCAAGTCAGAGCTATCTCCTCTCCTTTGTCATTTTGTTGTTTAGGGGTTTTTTTTCAAATGGTTTTATTGTCTGAAGGTGAACAGCTTTTCTCTAAATGCAATTTTAGGAACAGTACAATATTTCAAGAATGAAGTGTTCTGCTCATAAGTGAGGTTTTGGAGTGCTTGTTTACTGAATGCAAAACTTGTTTAAAAATTCAGATCCTAAAACTGGATCAAGGATTCTAACCTGATTGGAGATGAAAGTCCTTCCACGCAAAATAAGAAAAAAATTTTTTTGAAAAGAAAGCTTTCAAGTACTCTCAGTCAATTAGGGAAGACTGCCATCAGATTTTTTTCAAGGTATTGTACAGATGTTATTTACCTTGAGTAACAACAGTTTTTACTAGGAAATTAACTACAAATTTTATCTTGGAAAAAAAAATTTAAAGCCTTAAACATGTACATTAATTCCTTTTTCACTTTTTAAAAATTCTTTAGCTGTAACAGGTTATAAAAGCTTGATGATGATGATAATAATAATAATAATAATAATCTCTTCTGGTTTTGCTCATATTATAGTCTGCTTTGTTTCTTCTAATGTGTCAGAAGTACACATGGCTCCTCCATGTCTTGGTCTGTGCACTAACAAATAGATAAAGTAAAAAGTACATACAAAGTTCTGAGTTAAGTAAAATTACTGTACGGTAATGGGGTAAGCTTGTTCACAGGCTTGCTGGTGATTTCTTATATTAATACAATAATTGTCTTTTTTAATGATTATGGACATAAGTGGAACTCATGTAACTTGACCTGTTGTGGCTGAAAGAATACAACCTCTAGTCAAATACCAAACAGACCCTCTGAGGAAAGTACTGTGCCTGCCTGACAGATTATAAAATTAAGAGCTTAATTCTGTCATGGACTTCGTGATATATTTACTTTATCTCACAAATAGGGAGCCAGAAAAACTAAAGGCAAAGGGATATGCCCAAGCTGACAAAGCAATTCTATGATAAAGTGTGAAATTGAAACTAGCCACTAACTCAAAGATCAGTTTATACCTCAAGGAGTCTTATCTTTCATAAGCTCCATATGCTTTTTAACTTCTAATATGCTGTTATTTATTACCAGTTTAAGGTAAGAGTCTTCATTTCAGTAAGTGTCTAGTGATACTCTGACTAGCATACACTGAATTTTCTCTTGATTCCTGGGACTGATGCACTGATTCACTAAGCCAGTCTCTGCCACATGCAGAAACATTCTGTCACCCCCAGTATAGCTTTGAGACCCAATATGGCACTAACTCGCCAATAAAAACCTTTCTAGAAACCAGTTTTATCTCGCCTTCTGGGTTGTCTCTAACTACTCTGTAGAGAGGAAAGCTGGGGATTAAATGGTAGAATGGAGTCAAGAACCAATAAGTTACTGTTTTGCTGCTAGGCTTCAAAGAGTGAGTTTCAAAATAGTACAGAGAACTTCAGGCTGGCAGGCAGGACCCAGCTCAGAGTTAGAAAATCTGGATTTCTAAGCAACTGTAATTAGCTTGACCCTTATTGTTCAGGCTACACTGCTTAAACCAACAGATCCCAAAATAGGATCAGGGCCAAATCATGTTATGATCTGGTTTTATTTATCTAAAAGGCTCATGTGGACTTAATTTGCTGTTTTGTGTTAAGAAATAATGAATAAATAGAAAGGATTATGAACACATGTTTGGCCTAAAGAAGAACAGAAGAACGCAGTCATAGCTTCAATTTTGAAATGTCTTATTTCATCATAAACTTAAATTTCAAAGCTAACATGGGGATATAGCAAATATAATGCTTTATTTTCAACTAATTGTGTCATAACTGAACATTCAAACCTTCAACTGGGAAACTCGAATTAGCATCTATGGGATGTTTTTTTTCAAATGTGTGTAGATATCAACTGGAGGATCTAAATGTCTTATAAGTACTGTATAAAGTAGGTTGAAATAGAAATGAGAGCTCTTTAATCAACTTTAGCCAAGAAAGAGGTGAAACTGTGGGGAATAAATGGTTATGCAACCCAGGAAAGAGGAGGAGAGAGCAGAGTCTTTTCAGCAGAGGAGACCTGTGTCCTATCCCCTCTTCTGACATGAACACTTTTGTTTTACCTCTTTGCATCTGAGTATCTGTAAAAACCTGCACTTACTGTACTAGCTATCTATTACTTAACTATTTTACAGTTCTGATAATGTACCTTTTTAGGAGTCAAAAGTCCTTCTTCAAACACAGGCAAGTATTCCATACACCAGACTATTTTATTCTAACTGTAAATAAAAGAATGGGGGGCAAATAAACACTAAATTACTAAATGAAATACTCGAGTTCAATTATTTACAAATCAGCAGGTTAGATTCTAGCTCTATTTCATTTTATGAGAGTGCATTATAAGTGTCACCAACCTAAGAATTAGTATTTCCCAGGCTTTTTCATTCCTTATAAAGGTTAAACTTATTTCTGTGACTGTGCTGTTAACATCTGCTCGGCCTTTCAAGCTATCTGTTAATATGGGGAGAGCACAAAATTGTTGCTAACACTGAAGAATTTTCCAGAGATACCAAAAATAAGTACATTTATATTAAAATAGCATTAAAATATATAAATAGTTTCCGAACTAAGTACACATGGCTGGGACTCACTGTACCCATTATATGTAATAAATAATATCACTCCACAGTTACTCATGTATCAGAGTACTTGCTCATCAAGACTACCCCAATTTTTATAATTACAAATCCACCTCAGTTCCCAATAGTTCTTTAGTTCTTTTCCTCACTGGAACCAGTATTTGATCATGAATAGCTCACAGCACTGTACACCGTTCAGGAAGTCTTTAAGGTACAAACTGGTGGAGCCTGAGAATACATCCTCTAGCCTTCTCTACACATCCACTTTTTTGTTCAGTGTCAGAGAAATGGTATCAGGCAAGTCAGCCTCTGCAGCACGGCTGTTCATATGTACACACCAATTAGAAAGTCAGAATCAGCACTTTCATAACTCTACTTTTCATCCTGCATCTCTTAAAATAGGATCATGCAGCAACTTCTTCAGCACTTCTTTCTAACTGTGTAACACATACAATCACCTACCGCTGCTATTATTCTATGCTATTATTATTATTCTTCTAGCTGGCAAAAAAACAAACCAAACCAAACCAAAACAACCCAACCTGAGGACCCCCGTCTGCACTGTTTTCAATTATGGCATGTAATGTGAAGTATATCTTACAAATCAGACAGCAAGATGATCTATTTTACAGTGCATTCTTTCCGAAATGTTAAATATTAATTCCTTTTATCGGTGCCTGTTTACATATTGGTAAATGCTGTCCTACTTTCTTATAAAAAGGACTATCCTTTCTGTTTGTTTAAAAGGATTCATGTGCCACTGAGGCATACAATGAAGGAGGCAGTAACTTCAAGGCTTTGAAAATTCAAGTCTTTAATATGCTTTTATTAAGTAACAAGCATAATCATTATATGATGACAGTCTTTACAAAAAATCTTCTTATAATCTGCTGGTTTATCCCTAATCAATATATTGAATAATTCACCCTGAATTTTTCTCGCCTCTGTAGGTAGAGAAAATCAGTATCCTTACTTGGAGGTGCCTTGGTTTATGGCTAGAAAGAAACAAAGAAAACTTGAAGGTGCCTTACTTTAGGGCTAGGAAAAAAGAAAACTTTTCTAAATAACTCCCACACTACATTGTGCCAAAATCACATTTTAAAAGTTGAAATTCACCCAGCGAAGAGCACAAACACCCCATCAAAGACTTTTTACCACCTGTCAGGCAAGATTTAATCTGGTGGCACATAT